GACGCTTAACCGACTGCGCCACCCAGGCGCCCCGGAAAGAAGTATTTGATGTGGAACAGTAAAAAAATACCTTTAAGTTTTCTGCGGATTTCAATCATTTAAAGTTTGATACGTACTTTTATAAAACTAAAATGTTTTACCCAACGGTGAGAATTTTGGTGTGGTGAATTGGAGCAGCCATAAGGTCCGTGAGTAGCTGTGGCCGGACGCAGTAGGCCAGATTGTGACCTCCCCACTGCAGTTTTCTGTCTCTGTGTCCTCCGCTAGAAGTTGCAAACCATGAGGAATTTAATACAAGATATGGCTTGACAATTATTTTCTTTCTGTTCTAAAAAATAAACTTGTAATAGCAAGATTAAGCATCTAATCTAAAATTTGCCGTCCACCATTTGGAAACACCAGGCAATTCTGTCTACCTTTTTATCTCTAGTGGAAGACAAATCTGAATAACTTTTAGCCTGGGTAAGAGGCTTCTAATCTTTTTTCCCCCCCTTACTCTTGGTTGTCCCTTATCCTTACTGATGATGTCTAACTCAGTAAGTCATCTGTCCTCGCCCACAGAGAAGTTGTTGGTACACCAGCCTTTTGAGCCGGTCCGCTGGTCTTTTCCAGATGCCTCTGTCCTGAGACCCTTCCCCATCACTGTCCACCGTCCCTGTTTCCCAGCCTTGTGGCTCCTCTCCTCTCTCCTCCTCTGGCACCCGGCACCCTTCCTGTTTCCAGCCTCCTCATCAGGGCGCGATCATGGCCACTAACGGGACAGTTGTTGGCAGCACTGGAGGGTGCATTCATGGCTGACTGGCTGAACGTTACTGGTGTTCCGCTGTCTTTTTGCCTAGAACCGGAGGAGTTTGCTGGTAGGGTAGCTCTAGAAGTACCCTGATCACCTGGGAGAGAGGCACTCATTTTGTATTTTCCTTATTATCATCATAGCCCCGCTAATCATTCACAGCTCCTAGGGAGGGGAGGGCAAAGGTTATTTTTCATTTTTGCTGCAAAAAATGAGAAAATTCCTTGGTTCAGAACTTCCTTGGTAGAAGTCTTCATATGGTCACGCCTCTCTTTATATCAAATGCATCTAATCTAGATACTTTCTACATTCTCTTCTATTTCCCAGAATTATTAACTCATTTCTTTGCTCTTCTCAACTGACTTGAAACTTCAGAAGGGTGTCAGCATCCAAAAGAACGCGCCTGATTGGGCCCGGCGCGGGGGTCATCAGACCTGTGTTCTATTCCTGGCCTTACCGGTAACTGTAGTACTTGATGATCTCTTCTAACTGTGCAGTCTGCTCTGAGCTGTCGGGTCAAATCCTGACAAGCGTTCAAAAATTATTTTCCCTAAAATGGTGTTTCTTTGTGCGAGAATTTTATAGATGCTGCAATCTTTATAAAATGTTTGCACACCTTTGGCTGTTGCTGTGCCTGAAAGCAGAGTGATGGCTCTTGCCTCCTCTGGCACCTGCCTGCTCTGGGGCCTCGGGCAGATTATTCAGTCTCCGTCTTTTAACATCTGTGTCTGTAAAATGGGTGATCCTTCTAGCCCCTAGAATTGTTTTGAGAGTTTAAATGAGATAATGTCCGTAGAGTGCATATAAACACTTCAAAATGGGTCTTCTTCCTTGTCTACCCCAAATACTACCTGACATGCGCAGTATGGGATTATTTTCCGTTTGTAACTGTGTTGAACCTGTGTGAGAAGAAATGACCTGTTTCTTACCATGTGTCTTGGGAAAAACTGTTTTCTTTGAAAAACTGGGGGGAGGGGGGTGAAGGACAGCGCCCAGCTTAAAGGATCCAGTTGTTTCGTCTTGAACTTTGTTGAAGGGACTTCCGTCCTTACTGGGTCATTCAGCGCAGTTATGCGGACAGAGGTTCCTGGTGGGAATGGAGCTGAACAACTTTCCTAGTTCTTTTGGTTTCTGGTGTCTGTTACACAGGAGCTGAATCTGGCTTTCCTCCGAATACTGCTGCCCCCGGAGTGGGGGTGGTGGCTGTGGCTGCGGAAAACCCACTCTCAAAGTTCAGCTGAGGGGGTGTAGCAGGTCAGCCTCATGGTACCCAAGTGAATACCTGTCAGTCACATATTTTCGCGTCATGGCTGTGCACGTGTCCTGGAGTTGCTGCCTTTGTCCCATTCTTCCTTTCTCTGTGGCTGCTCGCCTTCTTCAGCGTGTGTACAAGATGGGCAGTTAGAAGTCATACACGGTAGGGCATCTTTGCGAGCGTTCATTCAGCTTCCCCTTGGCTGTGTCCCTCTTCTCTCTCAAGACACTGTTGGGCCCAAATCATGTGAGAGTCTTGGGTGTTGGTGCGTTTATACAAATCGCAGCGAGCGTCCCACAGCTGAGCCGCTCGGGTGACGGAGAGCCGGGCCTCGGGGTGCCTCTTCCGGCACCGCTGCGTGATCTGTGAACCGATGGATGAATTACATGACCTTTGATGCTAAGATAATGCCTGAGAAAATAGGAGACCTGATAGAATTGAATCTTAAAGCACCAGGAGGGGCACCCATGTTGTAAATAATACAAAATCCCGGGTGTTCCAAAAATAATACCTTGTTTGGTTTTTACACACATTGCAGTTTTCTTCAAAATCCTGAGGAGATGACTCCGACGGCAGTGACACGTGTCTTCTCTCACACTGAGCACACGTCTGTGTTGTTTGAGTCAAAGACTTTCCGTGTCTGACACCTGGACGATTGTCCCTTGAATCCTGGCTGGCCTTTGTGTATGGCTCTACCTGCTGTTAGGCAGACAAATCCAGTCTGCGTTGGGTTGTAGACAGGGAGGGAGCCCCGACTCCGGGAGCTGTCTCAGGCGCAGCTAACGTTAGAGAGAAGACCGTGTGATCCCCCCCAACTCGGGAGAGAAGACAGGTGCCTCCAGCACGTTATTAGCCTCTGGGAGAAGAAGGTGAAAAGGCATACACCCTTGGCTGTCTTTCTGCCCTCCGTAGTTTTATGTTTGCACACCTAGCCCAGTAGGGATTAAGTTCATGTTATTTGTAGTCCCAGTTGCTGGTGTATTAATATTTTCTAAACTAAAAAATTCTTTTTTTTTTTTTTTTTTTACCCACTTCCCATTTTCAGAGCTAAACGTTCCATGTAGCTCAATTTTTTAAAAATTTTGTATATCCACCGAGCACTGTAATTAGTGGGTGGGATGTCTGTAATGAGAAGCAAGGTGCCATTCGTGGCCCGCATCGCAGCAGGGAAGGGGAACCACATGCATGCTTTCCGTGTTTGGCAACGTGTGCTAAGGGCCCTGTTGGACAAAGTGTGCACCAGAGGCTGGGTTTGGGGGCTGCCCGAAGGCTAATTGGAAGGTGTAGTGTTTGAGCTTTGAAAGAAGGATCTGCTTTTTGACAGGCGGTGGTTGGGAGGGTGGAAGGAAAGTGGCTTTCCAGCTGCAGGAAGTGGCACGAGCAAAGGCACGGAGGCAGGAACTTGCAGGCCGTGCCCAGCGCGTACCCTAGTGTA